AGTGTCCAGGGGTCTTTCCTCCAACTCCAAGAAATACATCTGTGTCGCCCATTTCAGAGCATCCACATAGTGATGTGTGAGATTTGTTTAGGATGTCTAGTATTTTACTGAAGGCTACTGCCTGAAGTGGTCTTGTTAGTTGTTGATTTGATAGAGCAGTGAGCTTTTGTATTTGTGAAATTATTACTTTAGTAATTTATTTGTCTTGGACTGTAGCATCAGTGCATATCAGCAGCAGGAACATCATGTCTTCTTAATTTTATTTTATTTCTGTAATAAAGATAATGATAGGAATGATGTTTTCTTATTAGAGAAATTATTTTCTTACCTTGTTTCATTGTGCTCTGTAATGATTAGCACAAACATTATGTTGGCTAACAAGTTTTTTTTCTGGTAGGCTAATACTATTTTACTAATTTTTGTTCACAGGAGCCCAGGAACTGATTCTGAGTTAGCTGAAGAAGAGGCAGAGATTAACAATGAGTTGGGCATTACTGAGGATTATTTTTCACAACCTGAGGTATTGTCTTTTTCAGTTTTACATATTATTGTTATTTTGGTTTGATATTCTCTTTAATATGTAGAAGAGATTTTATTTTGGAAGTGAAGTAGGACAAATATATTTAAGAATAAGTAACTTCACAAAGCAAAAGACACATTTCATCTTTTGTCACCATTTGTATTTATATACCTTTGACAAAAATCTAAATTTAAATCTCTCTAGCTATTCATTCTCCTTTATACTTTTTTCTTTTAAAGGGCTGTTAATATATTGGGAAGAGGACAGTTGCATGATACATGTATATGTTAATTTGAATTAATTTTCTATATTGTATTTCTATATTATATTGTATCTTTACCAAAGAAACTGGAAGACTTAATTGATGTTATTCAAAGAAGTCTTCCTTATATGTATTTTATACAGGAAAATGTTTTAGAGCTAAGTATTGAGGGACTAGAAGCTAGTATTGAGAAATGCAAGACCCTAATCCTGCAGTGTGAGGAGTCCAGCACCAGAAGACGAGCACTTGTGCATAAGCTGATAAAAATAAGATTGCGTTTACAAGTAAGGTTACCTCAAGATTCTCTGTGTATGTATGCATGTATGATTACTTCTTTGTATTTTGAGTTACTGATATTACTTCTTTGTATTTTGAGTTACTGATATTAGAATTTGCTATGATAATTTTCATTGGTATGCATTGCCTGATGCACAGAAAGTCATAGTTTAATCTCCAAATCACAGGAAGCAAAAGATGCAGAGGAGATTGCATCCACTGGTGTGCTTTTTCGTTTGAGCCATCAACTCCAGCCCCAAAAGCCTCCTCTCACCCGAGCATCAAAGCAGTATTGTGACAAGTGCGCCCAAATCATTTGGGGGGTGATTCATGTGTCATACATCTGTAGCTGTGAGTGTTATGATGCTTTTGAATATGGATATAGAAGTTATCAGATGTAGCAAAATTTATAGAGTAATTGGTGCATTTTGTTTTCAGTAAGCTGAGCAATATATACATAGAGGATTGTATGTCTATTAGTAAATGATGGGAATAATATATAAGGAAACTGAATACATATTTTTTCTACTTATCATAATTTTCTATATATATATTAACAAAACTCAAACTCACCTTGATATCAGCATACGGTTCTTTTAGAATCATTCTAGTTGGTAGATTAACCCCTTGAATAAAATAAAAGGAAAATGTTACTTCATGCTTTTTGATTAATAGACACAGGCTTGGATGAGTTATAATCTTATGTGTACAGAAATAAATCATAAATGATATGTTGAAATCTTATTTGTCCAACAATGCCCCTCAAGCCTGTGTTCTGGTCTAAGATAGGATTTGGTTCAGGGACACGCCTAGATTCCTAGGAGTGTGAAACACTTCTAGGAACAGACAATGAGAAAGATTGGGTTACTATTTGACACCTTTTAGATGTTACCATTCTCAGGTGGTTAGTAAGGGTTAAAGCATATCTTTGTATCTACTTTCTGTTTATGTGAACAACACACCAACAGTTATGATACCTTACAGTATGTGAGTACCAGTGCCATGGAAGGTGTGTGGAAGGCATTCAGCGCAGATGCCCAAGCGTGAGGGTGAATGAAGATGCATCTTACATCCTAAGAATATGCCCGGAAGTGGGATTGTCGGCCCAGAATTATAAGTGTGCAGAATGCAAGATACTGATTACAAACAGTGAGTTGTAAATCTGTTTTAGCTTTTCATTTTTTTACTGCCTGTTTTTATAAGATAATGCCAATTGTAATAAGAATTTTTATCCAAAAGTGGTTATTATTCACTAGTATTCATAATGATATTTTTTATATAGGTATGTGTTTTAGCCATCTGATAACATAATTAATTATGCAATATATGGTTCCTAGTGTAGATTGCATTTTTTTTGTCCAGAGTTGATAGGTAGTCATAAAAGTTGACTTAGAAATTAGAATAAGTTCAGTTAAGTTATGTACAAATACACCACCCCTATTCTGGAACATTTAGTTTTGGGACTGTGCTGGATTATATTGTTTGATCAATAAAGGTCATATAATGCCAGTTTATTAATACTTCTCCTACCAAGAACCTGCACCTTACCACTAACCTGTAAACAATCAAGTGACTGTATGGTACACACAACACTACCTCTGGGCAATTAATAAACAAAGAGTAATCTGACAGCTATGAGAAATTCAGATGTGTGCTTTTTATTCAACAGATTGTATATTCATCTCTTTGTTGTATTACTTTAGTATTCATAATATTTCTTTTTTTCCACTTTTCTCTTATATTAGAGAACAAAATGTTTTTCATGATATTTTATGGTAACTAGGATGATTATAGACTATATAGCCTAATTGTCTGCAAATATAATTAGGATTTGGGTAAATAATGCTTTAGGTCTGGCTTTTAAAGTTCCTCAAATGACTTCCCAAAGCCTGGCTAAAGCCTTGATTTACATTGTTTCTATCAGAGCCAGTATTAATTAGTATTTTTGAACTTATTCTTGATAATAATTTGAGAAGCTCTTTGTTCTTGGATATTATCCTGTTATTGTTATTTTTATTCTAATAAAGTAACATTTTTTTTTTTTTTTTTGACTTCTGTTGATATTACATATTCAGTAGTTCATAATATGCTTTTGTGTAAATGTACTGATGTGTACAAATTTGAGGATAGCCCTGATGGGCCTGTAGACTATTTATTAGACATTAAGGTTTTCCTTCAATGAGATAAACCCTAAATCTATTTTTTTTCTCTCTCTATTAGTGTAAACTCATACTCATTGGTATGTGTTTTAGGGCTCTCAGTATTTAGTGACAAAGGTCAAATAATTTATAACCATTAAAATGAGAGTTTTATTATTATATGAGAATGGATAAGTGTTTATGATAAGGTCATTGTTTTAAAGTTTTGATTGTAACATTTAGAAGAGGAGTTTTGTGACTCTTGGAAATATACATGTGGGAAATCAGATCATTATACTATTTGAATATTTTGAAATGATGATTATTTCTTATTACAGTTGGCATTGTTTCATTTATGATGCTTAAAAAGTTTGACAGTGAAATCTTTCTCTTATTTGTGTGAGTATTTTGATTTGCATGATTCTTTTCATTAATTTGAATGATGATTTTACAAGTTGCAATTCTCTGCCTTGTTCCTATTGAGTTTGAGCATCATTATTGCACAATGACTTGTCATATTTCAGTTGTTGTGTTGAGCACTGCTGGGCACTCATTTTTATCTCTTCCTTTTTTTGAAACTAAAACTTTAATTAAGTTATCTAATTTGTTTGTTTCAAACTTTTCAGAATTCACTGTTATCACAAAGCACGGCAGGAAGTTAAAATGCAGAGGTATTGGCTCTTGAGTAATGACTGTGATTAAGAAGTTTCTTTTTTTCCCTACTTTTCTGCTTAAAAGTGTTGAAGATTTAGAAAACAATTGGTAATAGTTTGAGAAGCTATTATAGGTGTCCGCTCCTTGTTTACAAGTAGTTTTCCTTTTGCTTTGTTTCACAAGAGGATCTTTCAGAAAACAGAATTAATTTCCTTGAGCTTGTTGTTAGGCTCTCTCTTGTGTTTGGCTTGTACTTTCTGGATTGATAGACCTAAGCAATGTGGGTGTAGTTATCTTGAAGCTCAACAATGACATCCACTATTCTGTCTCATTCTACTAGCATAATTCTGCCAGACATTAGGAATTAGTTTGTGCTTGTTTTTAATTCTTAGATGAATTGACTAAGTTGTTTATTATTATTAAAAAAATGAAAATCTATTAGTTGTTGCTATATTTTAGCTTTTAATCAATATCTGTCAGACATCCCTGCCACTTTTTATTTCAAACCTTTTTAATTAATATTTGTTTGGTGTAGGTGATGTTGGTATTAAATGTCTTAGTTTGGTGGTTCTAAAGATGATTTTGGAATTGCAATTACTCTGTGGAGAGATAATGTCTTTATGGAAGGAGAAGAAAGTGTGGTCTAATTCCAGAAAGTGGACATAAATAAACATAAATATTAATTGGTAATTCTTGTAAGAAAATTATCTGAGAGTAGTAGCTCAAATCATTAGCCAAGCAATGATTTTTTCTTCAGCTTCTGTGTCAGATGCTGCCCAGAGAACAAATGCACTGTTATGCTTGTCAGGGACATTGATTTGCATGAGCATAAGGAATCAGATTTTCAGCAAACTCTCTGTATCATATAATTATTTAAACATTATTAAAATGAAATTATTAAATTTTTACTTATATAAGATACAAAATATATGTTTCTTTTGCAATGTGAAATTCGGATGGTGGAGTTAACTTATTTTGTATGATATCAACAGCAAGAACCAAACTGTCTGTTTTTATAATAAAATTCTTTACTACTCCATCAAATTTAGGCATAGTCATCAGCATAAAAGTCTTAGTGTCCTAATGTCTTAATGCTGTATGTTTGCAGAATATTTACCTGTATCTTCTGTTTTTGTTTCTGGCAGTTATG